GGACCCAGCCTGGACCCTGATCGGCCAGTGCGTGGATCTCCTCACCAAGCCCTCAGAGGACCCCAGTGCCCCATTGCCCTGGTGGGACAAGAGCCGCCTTCTCTTCCACGGGGACTGGCACATGGACATCGAACAGGCCAACCTGCATCAGCTGGCCACTGAGGTGGGTGCCGCCGGGGTAGGGAGCAGAGCGCGGCGTGGGGCTGGCTCACACCTGCCTCTCCCCATGCTTGTCCTTGCAGGACCCCTACAACACCACGGAGAACATGCACTGGGAGTGGAGCCACCTCTCCTTCCACTGGAAGCCTGGGCAGTTCGTCTTCAAGGGCAACCTGGACATCAACGTCCGGACAGCCTCCAAGTGAGTGTGGGCACAGGAGCGTGGGGGCTGTCACCGGTGCCGGGGGGTAACTGGGGTCTCTTTCCCCATTCAGATATGACGACTGCTGCTTCCTGCATCTGCCCGACCTGTGCATGACGCTGGACCTGCAGTGGCTGTGCCACGGGAACCCCCACGACCACCACGGCGTGGTGCTGCGTTCCCCTGAGTTCCTGCCCGAGGTGCCGGTGGGGCAGCAGTACGACTCCTACCGTGCCTTCCGCTCCGAGAACCTCAACCTCTCCATCCGGATGGACCTGACGCGGCCCAGTGAGGGTGGGTGACAGTGCCCTGGGGATCCCTCGGGGACGAGGGGGATGGGGCAGGACTTGCTGGTTTTAGCGATCCTTATCGGTCCTGGGTTGGGTGCTGCCGTGTCCCTGCCCCACGGTGCTGGCTGACAGCGGGTGTATTCTCAGAGCACTCCCAGCCCCGGATCCTGCTCTACAGCAGCACCCTCCGCTGGATGCAGAACTTCTGGGCCACATGGACCAGTGTGACGCGCCCCATCTGCCGTGGGAAGCTCTTCAACAACATGAAACCCAGTAAAAAGAAGCTGGGGCAGCATTACAAGCAGCTGTCTTATACTGCGCTCTTCCCCCGGCTGCAGGCAAGTCCTGGGGGTGGGGGTTCGGTGTTACCTCCCCATTCTGCCTGCGCTGGGATCTCAGCCTCTGCTTTCTGCTCCCTCACAGGTGCATTACTGGGCCTCCTTTGCCCAGCAGCGGGGCATCCAGGTGGAGTGCTGCCAGGGGCACATCTTCACTCGCGGC